CGCCCACATGTTGCGCGGACTGTTAGAGACTTCTGTTCAGCACAACGCATGCAACTTCTTCCTTGGCCTGCTTATTCGCCGGATATGTCGCCTATTGAGCACGTGTGGGATATGGTTGGTCGGCGTCTCACTCGTGATCCGCGTCCTGCAGTTTCCAAAGACGAACTTTGGTTGCGCATACAAGCGATATGGAATTCTCTTCCTCAAGCAGATATTCAACATCTGTTTGACTCCATGCCACGTCGTATAGCAGCACTTATTGCAGCGCGTGGTGGCTGCACCAAATACTGATTTCGGACGCTTAATTTGTTTCTTTTGTTTTGAAAATTTCATCATTTATTTGTATCAGTACAAGTCGTTTCTGCATTAAATTTCATTTGATTCTGATGATTCTTTCATGGTGTTGCATTTTCTACAAACAGCAGTTTATATATATACAGGGGGTCGACAAAATAATGAAAACTCTTCCATACTAATACATTTTTTCATTCTCCAAAATCACTAAAAGAATCATTTTATATCTTCGGAAGTATTTAGACCACGTTATTTTTCATACATATCAGTGAAGTTCTAAGCTATTGGAGGTTTGGGAAACCAACAGTAAATTATAAACAGAAAATAAGGTTTTTATATACTCTATGCCAAAAAATGCAGCAATTGATTTGTAACTTGTGACAATTATTTAGGTTATTATCAATGATTACACAAAATTTTGCAATCCTGGCTTGAATAATTATAGAGATATGGACATTTTTTAAAAAAAACTAATTTTTTTGTCTTACGTTTTTTTTGTTTAATTTGAAAACATTCTATAAAATTAAGCAAAATTTTCAGAGAAATTTAAAATTAAGTACAAATATTTTGCTTTAAGACTTGAAAAAAAATTTAAACTGTGCAATATGTAAGTAATTAGTTCTTTTATACTGCGCACACGCGGAAAAAAAATTTCTTTCTTTATAATTTTGTAATGAATCGTATTTGGCAACTGATAAAAATAGCCCAATTTGAATATCTTGAAATTTAAAATGTCTCAAGCAATCACAAAAAGTGATAAGAGGATTCCTACAAATATTGTTTTGACAAAATTTAATAACAAATGCTAATACCTTACAATAAACATTCATGCATCAAAATCTGATCTAGTAAGAAAAGAAAACAGGTGAAAGAAAAGACACTTTTATGGAGGATAATCCCCAATAATGACGTTGTCGTTTTTAATAAATCTTGTTCAATAATTCAAAATAAAATATGTGAGAAAACCCTTATCATCATAAGCTTTCTTTTAAAAAATACGAAAACTACTTAAAAAATTGCTTGAATTTTTTTCAATTTTTAAGATATTTAAGTCGAACTTTCTACCATAGTTGCCAAATAAGTTAATTCTCAACAAAGTTAAGAAAAAATAATTTTTTAATTTTTTCCCGCATATAAGCAGTACAAAAAACTATTTTAATTACTCATATCTTGGGCAGTTTTAAACGAATTTTTCTCAAATTTTAAAGCTGTAATTTTGTAATTATTTCTAAATTGCTCCAAAAATTTTATTTAATTTTATTGAATAGTTTTAAAGTTATAGAGAAAAAAAAACAAAAGACAAAAATATTAGTTTTTTTTAAAAATAAAAATGTCCATTTTTGAATAAATATTTAAGCTAGGCTTACGAAATTTTGTGCAATTGTTGCATGCAATAACCAAAATTACTGTGAAAAGTTATAAATTTATTGCTACATATTTTGTCATAGGATGTTCAAAAACACTCTTTTTTGTAATTTATTGTCGGTCCCTCAAACCTTTAAAAGTTTTAAGCATCATTGATATATATGAGAAATCTCATAACCCTAAACATTTCTAAATTTTAAAAATAATTCTTCAAGTATTTTGTATTAAACGGAACGGAGAAAATACAGTAAATTATAATTGAAATGAAGATTCAATGAACATTAATTATCAAAGTCTGATATTACGAAATTTAATGCATTTAGCTAAATTTAATTGTTATTTTCAGGTTTTGTAAAGTGAAACAGTTACTCTGTAATTTTTATTTTTTTCTTTAAAAATGTGTGCAAGCTGTAAATGATAACACCACTACGAAATTTTCAAATAATTCGTTATTCTTTATATTTTTATCATTCGATGACCTTCATGCTTGGAAATAATTTTGTTTAAATCATACATTTTAGGTCTCATCAAACTGTACCTAATAGAACTCGTTTTGCATAAACGCACAGGCAAAAAATACGCATTTTCAAACTTATAATGACGTTTCTTGAAAAAGGAGTAATTTTAAAACTCGTGTACTTATGTATTAATCTTCATGTGATGTACTTACAATTTAAAAGTATGTAATAACCAATTTAGTATTGTTGCTCACTATATTATTTTAATGAATGATAAATGGCACTTTACATTTGTGCATTAACTTTTTTCACTTAATACATTAAAATGCAGAGTTTTAAAGAGAGAAATGCGGCAAAATTTTTATAGTTGGACACTTCAGAAATTAATTTTACAAATTTGCTTAGTGAAACCTATTTTTTTTGGACAATCTTTTTTTTTTTTGCGAGTAATCAACATTTGTAATGATGGTACTCATTTTGGTTTTAAATAGTAACTCTTTTAAAAAATATCAACAGTGCATCAAATTTCATAGGAGGAAAGACACGTAGCTAAATTAGTTCGTTACAAGTCTTATTTTAAAAAAATAATAAAAGAAAATTGTGACATGAAACCTAAATTGCTAGGAGTGTTAATGTTTGAAATCTGATATACACTTTATACTAAAATATAAATTTTTTTACAAATATCAGTAAATTATCGAGTTTCATAGAAGGAAGAGTTGCTAAATTTTTTGTGTTGCAAGAGATATATCGAAAAATAATAAAAGAAAATTGCGTCATGAAACCAACATTTCTAGGAGTGTCAATATTTGAAATATGACATAAACTTCGTACTAAACAGTAACTCTTTTTTACAAATATTATGACATACACTTTGTACTAAAGATTAACTCTTTTTTACAAATATCAGTAAAATATCGAGTTTCATAGAAGAATAAGTTGCTAAATTTTTGTGTCACAAGAGATATATCAAAAAATAATAAAAGAAAATTGCATCCTGAAAACTAAATTTCTAGGAAATATGACATACACTTTGCACTAAACTGTAACTTTTCTTTACAAATATGAGTAAAATATCAAGTTTCATAGAAGGATAAGTTGGTAAATTTTTGTGTTACAAGAGATATATCAAAAAATAATGAAAGAAAATTGCATCCTGAAAACTAAATTTCTAGGAAATATGACATACACTTCGCACTAAACTGTAACTTTTCTTTACAAATATGAGTAAAATATAGAGTTTCATAGAAGGATAAGCTGCTAAATTTTTAACTTAGTATGAACCATTTTAATCCTATCCTATAGTTCTAGGACATAAATATTCCCTGCTTGTGATATACTTCATAAAGAATATATACCACGTATTTTACAAGAATTTGCAACAACAGGTGACTTAACAGTAAAACTTATCTAAAACAAATACTTCTATTATTTTTAAAATCTAGAATGGAATCTCTTTTTAATAACAATACAATGCATGCAATGCTTTCTTAAATCAATAAACAATCCATCCAATATAAGTAGACCAAATTTTTCCACATTTATCAAATTTTATCACAAATCATATAAACATATTTTATTTTTATTTTATCAAAATCATTATCAAAGCACTTCGGTTTTTGGTTTTACCATAAAACCAGAATCACGTTCAATTTTACTATATTCTGGTTGTTTTGGACTAACTTTTTTCTCAGTATGTTTTTGGAAGTTCTGTCACCAAGATAAAAAAAAGTCACAGTATTAGGGATTTACATTTTAGGTAAAGCTGCAATTTTAAACTAAATATGCCATGTTGCCATAAAGAACTATATAAGCTTTAAAAAGTAACTTAATTGTTTCAAAAGTTATTAAGTCTTCTTAAAAAATCGGTAATTTAGCAAGATTCTTCACCTTGATTAAAACCAGGGAATAATGCTGATGTTTTGTAAACTTTTTTGAGCTCAGATAATGCAGTGTTTCATTAACTTTTTCAATATTAAAAAATAAGATCATAAACGTTTTTAATTTTCCTAAAACTCTTGTTTTTCCTCATATTGAAGTTTTGCACCATTTTCAGAATTGGCAAGGCCTAAGCTTGACCTAACAGTCTAGCTTGACCTAACAGTCATGGATAACTGTTGCAAAATCACAGCAGTTATGAAAACAACGAATGATTGAATGATTTACAGAAAAGTGTTATGCGACAAAAAAAAGCCTTTAGAAACTCATTTCTTGATTTGGCTTTCAAACGTCTTCTTAAAGGTTTCTGGATTATATTTATTGAGTTGTGGAATTTATTGATTTCTAACAAAAAGTTATCTTTCAAAAATTAAAATTTTTTTTACGTAAATGTTTAATTTTAAAAGTGAAGTCAACCATATACACTGTAAAAAATAAGTGTAAACTCTACAGAAAAACGCATATCTTTAACAGAAAGACACTGTTTAAAGATAAATATAGATTTTTCTGTTTTTAATCCTTACCCATGCGCTGCAGAAAATACACATTTTATTGTAGACTTTTTCCGTATATTTGATGGTTTGAAGCTGTTTTTGCAACAAGCAAAATAATAATAATTGTAATAATATTAAAATAAGATAAAGACAGTTTTTCTCTGTTTTTCACCCTAATCATAAACAGATTAAAACTGTCAATTCAAATTCTAGCTTTCGCCACACACTTTTGGTTACCGTAACAAAACTTTATCTTCCTTCAAACATTTTTATGATTTTTTTCTAAACTTGCTCTTAATTTTCAGAAGTCATTTTAAAGTTTCAAACATCGTATAAATAAAACTGCCATTCGATTTCATTGTCAAATTGATGCATTACCTGATTACTTAATTTCTTCAGCTATAATTTTTTGGCATGTTAAGCTGACAGAAACATTTATGCGAATAGGGCCACTATAGTTTTAAATGTTTTTAGACTTAAATATTATTTCATCAAGTAAGACTTTTAAGACAGAAACAGTGTAAGATTAGTCTTCATACTGAAACACTAGAGCTGCGGTAGCCTAGGGGCAAAGCGCTCGCCTCACAAAGAGATGGCGCAAGTTCGAATCTCAGAGTCGGCTGGTCGTAGTAATGCTGCTTTTGGTTATCACCGGCCCCATAGCTGATTGACATTGTTATTTTATATAGTTTTTTGTTAAAATAATGGAGTTTGTTTCGGTTAAAATAGCATAGTTTATCTGTTAAAATAACTGAGTTTGTTTTGATCTGCTTAAAAGACAGGAGCCTGATTTAAATATCAATATTTTTCTGTGAAGTATGTAGTCTTATATTGGCACAGCAGCTGAAAATGTTTCACTGTAATTTAAATTTTTTTCACAATAAATGCTCTTTTTTTTATAAAGAAAATGGAAATTGGGGTGTATATTTCATTACATTTTCATGCATATTAGAGAAGCTTGCGAAGCAAAATTCTGTATCTTGTTTCCAGGTCGTAAAATCTTTGTTGACTTTCAGGGTTTATTGATCAAGGTTCTAAATCAAGAAATACACAAAAAAACTATTCCTTTTATAAATATATATTTTAGAAATAATTTTTATTCTGAACAATATATTTTATTTAAGTAAAAGGAAGAAAAGGAAATACTTTAAATTAAACCTTTAGTAAAAATATATATAGGAAATGTTTATGAACTCAAAATATCGAAAAAAATATCAAAGAAAGATGAATAAAACAAACTAAAAAGCAGCAGCTTGATAAATGTCATTTGTTACAGTATCCTTTTCAGAAAAATAAAGTTGAAAATCCCTTCACTATTTCTTTTGGCGCTTTTCTTAAATTTTTTTTTTTACGTATCCTCTCTATTTCATCAAATGCACTGTTGCAGGTGTACCATCACATCCATAAGCTTCTGGAGGACTGAAAAGAAATAATATAAGCTTCTTGAAAATTTTTTTCTTTAAAAAGACTGTAGAACAATAGAAAAAGAGAAAGAACCCTAGAGAAATGTGCCCATTTTGTATGTTTTTAAGAAAATATCAGCCCTGACGAAAGGTTCCATTTTAGCTACATGCTACTTTATGTTGAACTTTGCATCAGCTGTTGCCTCAATTTAGCATAACTTTCGTAGAAGTCTGTGCATTTAGTTTTACTACACTGTTAGAAATTTCTCGGAAAAAACGGCTAAATAACAACTTATTTCATTGTTATTTTACCATATTCAAACGAAACAGTCAAATAACCATAAATAAGACGATATTCAAACTGTTAATTGTTAGAAAAACCGTTTATTAACTGCTTTCAACTAATGCAGTTAAAAAACCAGAGTTTCATAGTACCAAAGAGAGTACCAGAAGTTTTATAGTACCCCTTAGTTCCTTGCAGATGTGTACATATTATAGGCGATAGGACTAATCTGTCAATCTCATGACCGATGGAATGGGGCTTGAGTCCCAGAGTTGACCCTACTATATTTGTTCCATTCTATTCATATGAAGAGTTTCCATTATCCTGCTGTTGTTGTTGTTGTTTATTTACGTCGCACCAGAGCTGCACAATGGGCTATTAGTGACGGTCTGGGAAACATCCCTGAGGATGATCCGAAGACATGCCATCGCAATTTTGATCCTCTGCAGAGGGGATGGCGCCCCCGCTTCGGTAGCCCGACGACCTGCACGCGAAGTCGAGCACTTTGCGGTAGAACAGTTTAACGAGGACCCATACCGCACACCCTCGGTCCCTACGCAGGCTGATCCAAGTGGTCACCCACCCGCGCACTGACCATAGCCAGTGATGCTTGAGTTCAGTGATCTGCTGGGAACCGTGTCTTAACGATCAGTCCACTGCGGGACTCCATTATCCTGCACTTCCCAATTTGTGATCTTAGACTATTAGAATACGATACTCCTATTCATACATAGATGGCAGCACAATATAGCTGCTTATTAATTTTATTTCGGATCACTTACAATGTCTGAAACAACCAGATAAACTAACTAAACCTCATTCCATGATTTATTTGAGAAAACACACCCTAACCACCACCTGATTAAATTTATAGTGAAAAAAAAAACTATAATGCATGCAATAAAAACAAAAATATATAGTATTAAAACCATTCATTTAGTAATTTTTCCATTCACATGTTAATGGCTTACTAGAAATTCTGGTTTTCAAAAACATTCTGGAATCTTATAACCACTGAAAAGTAAATTTAACCGAATAAATGATTCTTATGCCGTGCTCTGAGACATCATTATAAAAGTACCAACTTTTACCACATTTACGAAATTTTATCACACATTATATAACCATATATTTTATTATTTTGACCGTGCTTTTTGGTGCTCCAATGGAACCAGAAATACGGTAAATTTCATCCTTTTCTGGTAGTTTTGACCATACTTTTCTTCTCAACGTACAATTACTTTTACAGCTTACAAAACTACAAATGAGAAATAATATTGCATGATAATGTTTTAAGTAGTCAAGTCAACAAAAAAGAGTAAGTAAAGGTTAAAAGGTAAAGGCTGTCCCCGCTTATGGCACAATTTTTATTAAAATTTTCAAGGAATCAGTTATTACAAATTGATCCTATAAAAAAATTAATTCTATATAGTTTCAGTTTATAATTACTGGTAGATTAAATTTAGCGAATTAACTTTTTTTTTCAAATAACACATACATAACATAATACTCTGTGACTTATTAAAATATAACTGAAATAATTATTAAAGTATACAATAAAAAAAAAACGACAGACACATTTTTAATTGCTTTATTATTTTCTTTTCACGCGTTTTTATAGAATACCAAGAAAGTAATTAAAACGTTACTTACCTTTTCCCTGAAAATTTATCAACTATAAATTGATGGTTTTTTAAATTGGAAGTTTCCTGAAAATCATTAAAATCATCCTAATTATTTCATTTTATGTAGCGCGTGCATATCTATTGAATAAAGTTAAATTTACACCTTGAAAACGGGGTAATTAAGAATCAGAATAATTAGTTTCCTGTTTTATTTCTGTTGTTTCGAAAGTAATGCCGAGTGCGTTTCGAACTTATTAAATGACTAGATATAAAATGCAAATGAAGATATGGGTTAGTTAATCTATTCTTTTTGTTAAAATTAATAATGTGTGTTTATGACAGCAATCAACCGAGGAAATGAGGTAAAAAAAATTTTTAAATAGCACATTTTTATGTCTTATCGAGTGAAATTAAGATATGTCTAATTAAAATATTTTTTAATGTTTCATATTATTTTTAATCATCTGTCTGTTTTGCAATAGATTGCCAACATTATAATTTAAATATAGTAATTTTAACGTTTGTTTTATTGAAGACAAACTTTGAAAATTATTTATTCATTTAATGTCCGTCTCTATTACTTGTGACTCCGATTCTGATGAATTATCTGAGTATATTTTCTTTTATAAAATTTCTTTTCTATTTTTTTCCTTATTTTCTACTTTTTAACCTAGTTATGTTAATCTTACTAATTCTAGGATAAAAATAAATTCTGGTTGACTTAGATAGCAGCTCGAAACTTGAAATTATTTCAGACAATTAACACAGTGAAGCAAATTTTTTGTTGCCTTTATTAAAATACTTCATATAGCCTAATTTGGGTGTAGGGATTTGAAATCTGAAACTAAATTTGCTAAGGCTACAAATCTTTTTAAAATGACGCTAGGACGCTTCCGATTCATAAGCGCAAGAAGTAGAATTCATTATAGGAATCCTAAAAATAAGGAAAATGCATACTTAAGTCTTACTTTTTTGAAATTGTTTTTAAACTTGCGCATGCAGCAAAAATAAGACGGATATCTTAATATATTTATGCTATTCAGAATAAACTAGAACAATGCATTTCAAACTGACCTGTCTCATATTTTACAGCAGATTAACCTCAGCTACCAACCAAATTATTGTGATAAGTCTTCCTCAACTCTATGGACTATATTAGCGAAAATGGAAGCCTTTAGTAGCGATACTTGCTCCTTAGTAGGCTATTTCTATGAGTATCTCATCATTAACGGCCATATATTTAAAGTAATCATCCTCTTCTGGATGTTAACTTACATTAAATGCATAATGTAAGTAATCAGTTTATATATATGATATGTACTTAAGCACTGAGTCAAATAATGTATTAGTCTATTGAATATAGCGTCCCGTCTTTGTTTGAAAATTCATGTCATTAAATTGAAACCCAAATGCATGCTTCTAATATTTTAAATAACCCCTCGTTTCATACTCAATGATTTTATGCCGGATGGATAAAAAGCTCGTTAAAAAGGAAAACAAGGAAATAAAATATCCGTGTTAGCCCAGTGGTTCAATATTCTGCTAAGACCCATCAAGTACCTGCGATATATGTTCTCGTTAAATCTGTGGAATGGTAAGTCCTGTGGTCCATCGCTGAGTAGTACCATGGGCTCAGAAATTTGGTGGCCTATGTCAAAATTGTGGAAGTGGCCTCACGAGTGAGTGGTGCTTTTATCTATATGGTAAGTTTTGAGCTAAGACCTACTTTCTCCTTCGCGGTGCACTCTTGTCAAACGAGAGGGGCAACCTCCTTGTTTAATTCACTAAAGGCCTGTTTACACGGTTCAAGTTCTTGAATCCGAGAAATTGAAGAGATTTCTCTGTCCAAGAAATTGGATGATTCGTTGACACTATCTAAGTTCTTGAATGTCACTGATTCGTCGAAAGAAAAACTTGCGCATGCGCATTGTTCAGATTCAACATTATAAAATAATACTTATATAAGTTTAAAATTACTAAATAAATTCAAATAAAATCATAATAACTCAAATAAACTGCAACAGATCAATTTATTTGGACTAAAATATATGAAAACAGACAAAATGACATAATTTGCTGGCTGCTTGTTGACGTCACAAAACCTAAGACGCTGATTGGTTAAGGGAGAAAAAACTTGAATAGAAAGTAGAACATGCTCTACTATCGTCCAAGAAGTTGGACCAAGTACTTGGATGATCGTTTACACACGATCCAAGCTCAAAGCAAAACAAGTTTCCATCAATATCAATCAATCTCTGTCCAAGAAATTGGATCGTCTAAACAGGTCTTTAAGGCCAATGGCTGGCGCTCTTTGCTTGTCAGGATAAAAAGGCGCTCTTTGCTTGTCTTTGTTTGTCATCAGGAACAACAGCAACACAGGAAAATAAAAATTTATGAAATAAGTGTTTTTTCTCCTTTTCTAAAGAAATTCTTGAACTATGTATAGGGAGCCGAAAAAAGAAAAAGAAAGATAGATCCTGAATAATTTTTGATACAATAATCAGTTTTTGTTCTATTAAGAAGCCATCTTAATGATACAAGTTACTACAAAAGACTTATCGCAAAAAACGATATTAATAATTTTTTCCCGTTTTTAATGGTACAACACTGTAAAAAATTTCAGATCAAATTACGATATAAAGTACCGGGACCTGGGGTGCTTCATTCGTAAAATCCATTATACCTCAAAATTTATTTATGCTGTAAATTATTATACCGTAATTTTTACAGTAATATTCATATAGTTAGAGAAATTCAGTGATTTTACGGTAACTTTTACTGTCAGAATTTGCGGTTCATAAGATTTTTTGTTCCTTAATATGTCCAGGTAAAAATGGATTTTACGGTAAAAAGTACCGACGATTTGCCGTACCGTAATTTGATCTGGAATTTTTTTCAGTGTAGTTTACTTTTCATAAGATTCAATATAATAATTAACTTAGAAAAAAGAACAGCTCCGATAATTCATAATTTTGTATCCTCTCAGTTTCTTGCATTCTCCTAAAAGTTTTAATTTTTGGAAACGAGTCCTTTTTGAAATTTTCAATTGATTTGCACTTAAAACCAGGTGAACTTCTTCAATAAACAAATGCAGTTTCACAAATTTAC